AAAATAATAATGATTTTCTTCGGGACCCAGTGGTCTTAGAGTTACCTCTATGGTAATATTTTCTAAGTGTAATGTATTATGGATTTCTGGAAGTGAACCCTTGAGTGAACCTTAAGAAAATGGGTTGTTTAGAACCATTACCATTCAAAATAGTTGTTTTCACCATACATTTTCGGGAAGAGAACTATTTTAGAACATTTTTACATGTGGTTTGAGAACTGTAGTGGTAATGGTTATGGTGGACAGTAAGCAGCGTTGCCAGATATACCGATTAATCGGTATTTATACCGATTTCCAAACTAGATGCTGATATACAGATAAGGTTCCTCAGAATACCGATTTTGAAGATTATATACCGATTTATACCGTTTTTTAAATAATCAAAATTATTATTGCGCTTGAATTTCGAAGCAAATTTTTGTGAATACCTCATATTTTTTTAGTCTTCAAAATTCTAAACAATCATCTCTAAGGATGCCTTATGCTTGATCCTCTTTCGATTAATGTTTGCATTTCCTCACCGTTTTTGGCTACCCATCAATCGAGAAATAGTCCATGGCTCTTTCCGGTAATTCCTAGGGAATCGAGAAATATATTTTAAAAATTACTTAACTTCCAGAAGTTTTTATGCATTTTTAAACTTCCTAAAGTTTCATTCAACTTTCTCTGGAATTTTCTTCCACCTTACCTTGGAAGCTTCTTCAGCCTTCGCTCGAATGATTCTTTCATCTTCTCCCGCCAGTTTTTTTTTTTAACTTTCCCGAAGGATGCTATCAGATTTTTATTGCGGATCCACACTAGCGGCAAGCACATTTAAGAAGTTCTGAAACTTCAGAAAAGTCCAGACTTTTGTGTAAGTTTCGATAAATTAAAGATAGTTTCATTAATTTCTGTTAAAATTCGAAAACCCGGGAATTTCAGAAAAGTCCAGTGAACTCCAATGAACTTAAAGAGACATCATAAATATTTTGGAAGCTTCACAAGTCCAAAGAACTTCAGGGAAATTTAATGGTTTTCAGTAACTTTAGTGAAGCACAGAGAACATCAGGACAAATCCATTAATTTCAATGAAATTGCTGAAATAACAACCCTAATAAACAAATACCATAAACGAACTGTATCCCGGATGGGTAAACTATCCCACAAATGGTTTGGATGATACCCCGAACACGTCGTTAAGCTCTCTTATATGGTTATTTTTATTAGGGAAAGCAGTTCCGAGAAACTCAGGCAATTTCCGAAAACTTCAGCAATGTCCATGCCAATTTAAGAAACGTAAGGGAAGTTACATGAACATTTTAACATTGTGAGAACATTTTATTGGAAGTTCTATGCTTTCTAATGGCAGTGTCGATAACTTTTAAAAATTATAAAAAAAAAAAAATCGGACGATCAGAGAACTTGAATGCTGATGTTACAATAAATTCAAGACAATTGTGCGAGCACTTAAGAGATTTCGTAATCTTCAAGAAAGTACAGAGGCCTTCTAAGATGATTAGAGATATTCCGGTAGTCTTATTATAATCAAAGAAGTTCAGAGCGCTTCAAGGATGACCAGAGAATTCCTAAACAGCCTTTAATTTCAGGAAAACTACAAGAACTTTTTGAGGAATTATGGAATATTCCTTAGTGCATTTTAGGAATGTTCCGAAAACTTTAGGTAAAATTCCGAGTCTTCAGGAATGTTTTTTGAATATCAGAAAAATTTTCTGGATCATTAGAACATCCCCCAGGAATCTCTTACTTCCGGAATTATGTCCTTTTTTTTTTCGACTGTTTCGTAAGCGCTCTGGTGTCCGACTTTCTTAAGTTGTTTCTTCCAATTTACCTTAGGAAGTTTCTGAAAGCGTCTCCAGGAAGTTTATTTCGTCTTCTCAAGGAAGTTTTTAATTTTTTTTTTCGGCTTCTTCTGGAAGTTTGACCATAAGCCAAAGGTTTTTTTTTGTTCGACTTCTATTGGAAGGTTTTTCCGAGCTTCTTCTGGCTTTCCCTGGAAATGGCTACTTCTGGAAATTTACTTCCGATTTCCAAATCTTTTCTGGCTTCCTTTGGATTGAAATTCGATTTTTTTTTCCGATAGATTATTTAAATTTTCGCCACAAGTTTCTCAATTCGTGTCTTGAAAGTTTCCCGGAGGTTTTTCCAGCTTGTCTAGAACTTCATCCAGGGGAGCTTCTTTCGTCTTTCTCTTGATGTTTTTTCAGTTCCATTCAGAAGCTTATTCAAATATTTCCCGGAGTTTTCTTCCGGAATTTTCCGATCATAGTCACATAGATTATAGCTACAATTTTGCTTTGATTAACGGCTTTCTCACTGCAACGACTACGATGTAATCTACCCAACATTTCGGCCATAGATTGTGACTTTTTTCAAGGGAAAATATTGTTTGTCGTTATTGTCAATAGTTTTTTTTTTTTTCATTTCGTTTATTTGGCAGGCTCAAATGTTATAAAAATAACTTAGCGGAGCCGAGTAACATAGAATACCAATTATGGTACTCAAAATGCAAAAAAAAATATGTACAAATATATTTTATCATATGATTTTTCTGGGTGGCGATCGAAGCGGCGACAAAGCGATCTTCTCCCGTGCACGCAACTTCTTTCTTTCCCGAATTTGTTCCACATTTTCATTGAATCCGAATCGTGATCGCTGCTGCTGTTTCTGAACATCGTTTCCCGTTGCATGCTCTCCGCTACTCTCGTCGGTCGTCGGGGTAATCACGTCCATTTCGTTATCTTCATTCAACATCTCCAACCCCGTGTCCGTTTCCTGATCGCTAATGACAAACGACGCACCTTCCACCACTACACCAGCATACGTACTGCTGCTGTTTTGTTTTCTTTCACTTTGCTTTCCTTTTTCCTTCAGTTGCTTCTCCGGTTCCTTCCGAGCCTTCCGCTTGGGACAGGAAAGCTTCCGGTGTCCGTCCGCCTTGCACAGAAAACATTTATCTTTGTTGCCATCATAAAAATTATTTCCTTTGCGATTGAAGAAATGTAATGACGTGGGGATTTCCTTCTTCACATCCATATATACACCGCGTATCCCTGTATATACCTCAAAACACAGATCAGTTGGAAATTTCTCCCGGATGATGCGTTTAATTTTCCCATATTTCCCCAGCACTTTATCCAGCTCGTTGTCGGGTACCTCTGGTGGCAAGTCATACACACGCACATATTGAATGAATTCACCAGCATGCGACATGCGTACCTTTGTCGTTGTTCCATTCGCATAATGGAAGATTAAATCCTCCGAATTGAATGTCAGAGCATGGAGCATCGCTTCCTCTGATTTGAACTTCATGAAGACTCCCCTTTCCTCACCAATGCGATAAACAGCTTCCATTTCAGCCGGATCCGCGTCGAGTACTTTGGCGAAATTTACTATCTCTCCGATGTTTGGTTTAGCATCATGGTGGCTGAAGCTAAACTTGATGGTGTTTTTTACTTCACACATCTTGCACCGTAGCAACAAAAGGTACCGAACTGCTAGCAACGAACAAAGAGCAACCAACAATCAATACGAAACTAACGATTTCAAATTGGCTCACTACTTGACTAGCCTATTGGTCCCAAGGAAACGATTAACGTATCCCATTCTAGTCGAAATTCTAGTACTACGCAATGTTTGTTTTGATTCGCTATGAAAGTTTGACAGATAAAATGAGGGGTTATTGGTTTTTCCTATGTTTCGAGGGGTGAATCGATTAGCTTGGGACCGAAGAGAGTACCAGAGCTGAGCCAAAAAGTTGAGCACGTTATTTCGGGAGCTTCTAGTCTTAGAGTTACCTCTATGGAGCAACTATATAATAGCGAGTCTCGAAAACAGGCTATCGTGTGGTTCACAACGAAATAAAAAATCGACTGCTGCTGTAGACAGCTGTGGGACAACTGATGTTTGTCAATAGTTTAGTCGTTGTTGTGGCTGATTTTCCATATTTTTGTTTCATTTAATGATATTTTAAGACTGAGAAAGCCGTCAAACAAAGCAATTCCCAACAAACAATTTGAGTTGATTAATAGTTAAATAAGCTATTTTTTAGCTGAAGAAGCACATTTTTGCCTTAATAAGCTTTTATTCAGCTTTCAATGTTTGTTGGGTTCCCCTTAAATCCCAGTCGTCACCATCGTTAAAATTTTCCCTTTAAAAAACGGCAAAAATATAAAATTAAATAATTAGTAAATACCGATTAATACCGATTTTTATATACCTTTGATACCGATAAGATTTAAAACAATCTGGCAACGCTGACAGTAAGGTCCACACGGTAAGAAAAAAGTACCCAACGGCCAGTTCACTTTTACCTACTTTTGACTAGTTTGTCTCCTTTTCTCCTTCTAATGTTGTCAAAAACGGAGGAGCAAAACCACCCAACAGGGGTAGTAAAGTGTGGGAACCCAACGTTGAGTATAATCATATTTACCTACTGTTGGGTACAACTAACTTACTTTTGCTTTAAAAGCCAGTGGAAAATTCCATACGAACTGCACACAAGTAAATGAAAATTACTTTGACCCGCTTTACCTACTTTTGGGTTCCTGCACTATAGTGCCGAGATGAGTGAAAAGAACTTAATTTTGGGAACTTTTTTCTAACCGTGCATGAATGCGTTCAGTTCGAGGTTCAGTTAAAGTTTAGCATGGATTATAAACAATGTTTAACCATTTTTGGTAATGTCAAGGTAATGGTTAGCATTTATGCGGGTTGTTTTAACTCTTCTGCCATCCGTGCCAACCAACTCGATTCAAATTTCACTTCGCTCATATAAATAAATAAAACTGGCCAATTTGAAAGTCAATCAGGCGGAATATATGCACCTTTGATGAAATCCAAATCGTTCGTATTTTGCAACGCGCCTAACCGCTTCGGTGTGGATCGCAAGTGCACCCTGTTGTGGATCCCGTTTTTGACGGCTTTCGCGATCGATGTTTGGGTAAAAGGAACGGACGGGGCCTCAAAGGGGGAAAGGACGCACGGAGCGCCCAGCAGAAAACAGTGGTGAAAATTTTCTTCAGAGTGCAGTTCAGCTGAATCCGTACGACGCGAGTGCTGCCTAGTTTTTCGCTTGCTATCGGTGGAAAATACATCCGATCCGGTGCGTGTGGGCTCGATTCGCGTAGCCAGTGATGTAACAGATCCGCTGGGAGTGAAATTTTGGCCGGAAACCGTACGTTCGGGGCGGATTTTGTGGATTGAAAAATTCGATTGAAGTGGCACCCCCCTCAGCGAGAAGAATACTAGTAGGTAGCAGCGGCAGGAGGTGGAGGAAAAGCCTGCTTCTGCTGGTGATGGAAGAGTAGTAGGTAGTTTCGATATAATTTGCGTGAATGGGACAAAAATCAATTCGGGGAAGCAGGAAGCAAAAAAAGCTCGATAAAATTGGGTGTGTTGGTGTTGGTCGCGGAGCATAAAAAATAATAAATTTTAAAGTTTGTTGTGTTTTTCTACGGCGACACGAAAGGAAGGAAGTTTGCCGTTCTGATCTGATTGAGTGAGAAGCTGGAAGGGATCCAAAATTGGATTTAGGGGGATCGCTTTATGTTTTTTTGTGAAAGGGCCACCACCACAGGCAATCCGGTTTTATGCTCACAAAGAAGATGCTGTGATGGGAGAAAACTAACCGAAAGAAAAGCTGAAAAAGTGCACACGAATATGATTATTATCTGGCTGGCTGGCCCTCGGTGTTTTGTGTAGTCGGTTGGATCTCCGATCGAATGCCCCTTTGAGGAAGAAGCTAGCTGGTGGATGCTGTTGCTGCTGGTGAATGATAGGTGTGAGAGCGGATTGTGAAAATTCAGCCTGAAAGATACATGCAATTGTATTCAGTAAAAGCCACCTTCTAACTCGTTGCTTTCGGTGATTACTCATGTTGCGGAAGAGTTCGGCGGCACCCGGGATCACGTTTTATGTGAGTGAAGAAACTGCATCGTCGACGGCGGTGCATTGATGCAAGAGAAGAAAAAAAAAACTCCTACACGCGGCTGATCATCGGTGTTTTGCATTCGAAGAGAAGACGACGGCGACGCACATCGCCAAAAAAGGACTTGCTGCTGCTTCCAGCCGGACTGCCATCCGGTCCTGCTGCTTGCTAGATCTCTGCACATTTTGCGAGACAGCGACTCTAACAGGTACGGAATACAAATCGAAATTATACAAATTATTCCATAGAATGTAGAAGCTTCCATCGACGGTAGCGAGCTCGGGAGGAATCATCCAAAACCAGGCAGGCGACAGAGAGCACATTGTATGCCATTTCCTACTGCGCTGATTGCTTGGCTGGCTGGTGATCGAAATGGCAGAGTAGCTGCTGCTGGCTGCCCGACGACGACGACGGCGATGAAGACCAAGGAGAAAAAGTGTGTAGGCAAAAATCGATAAGTCTAGAGCACGTCATTCAAGCGAACCGACCGGGGAGCAGCCACCTGGCTCCCGGGGCACAGTCCTCGTTTTTCGTTTCATTCTTGAGAGGATGTTGCCGATGGTAGCTTCTTTTATTCTTGAGCCTTGGTCCGGGGGTAGAGAAAGTCAGTCGGTAGTAAAAAAAAAATCCATCTGTCGGATTGCAGCAAATTCAGTTGTTTCGCAATTGAGTTGTATTTTAGGTGACCGATGGTGACGGGCTGGGATGGATGTGTATACAATGCGGACGGACACCCCGCCGCGAGTGGGTGGTGGCTTGACTCGTTCGTTAAGTAATGGGAAAAGTTGATGATTATAATCCTTGTTTTCCACTGCCGCATGAATGATTAATAAGCGGACCGCGATGTTCCTTTTTGTTTGCTCCTTTTAAGATAATTATCATGAATTTGATTTCGGGTACATAATTACGTTTTTATGTTGTGTCGCCGAGGACCTTTGATCCTATTATTTCTTCAAGCACACTTTCTGCATAATCCATTTTCAGTTTGGAGAAAAGAAAGTGTATCATTTTGTTGTTGATTATATTTGAATAGCTTCTATTTAGGGAGTTTATCTATCTTTTAATGTAACAGGTGGACGCATAATTGTCCCATGTGCTATGGAATTTCATATACACATGAGCAAATAATTATGCTTCCATCAGCAGGAAGCACATTGCGTTTCATTAGGGATTACGATTATGTAGAAGCTGGACCAGGATCTATCTATTGGATGGTAAAACGCATTGAGATGAAAGGGTTAATTCCGCTCATTTATTGAAACGAATTCAAGCATGATTTATTAAAAGGGAGTATCTGCTTTTGTAAACAAAGATTCAAACGGAAATTTGTCGAAACTCTTAACCCTGGATATCTGGCCGAAAGTTAGAACGCTTTATAAGATATCATCAGTAGATGGTGAGATATGAACTTAAGAATATTTGTAATAACTGGGCTATCTGAATTGAGAATGATGATTAACATAAAAAACAGTACAGCTAACATAAAAAGTAGATCTTTCCAAATGCAAGCCCCTCGTTCCAGGGTCAAGTCGCTTTACATCCTACAATCACCCATCTCTCACGAAACTCATAAAACTGATGCTTCCTACACATAAGAACCACAACTATCTAAACATCGTGCACCCTTGAGCTTAATCTCTCGCTCAAACCACACCGGCTTTCATCGCATACTTTCAATCTGTGATTAGCTCAAGAGGCGGATCCCTTCGGGCAACTCCAGTGAAGTCACCCATCTATAAGTATGTGGTGCACGCCATCAACCAGATGCATCATTTCTTGCAAACGAGGTCATAATCTGTGGTTGGTTGGATGTGCGGAAGCCACTTCGTATGCCACCTATTTATGACTGGAATACTAGCTCAACTGGGCGATACTCGATACTAGTCACGACCGATGATGGAGAAGATGCCTCGCTAATGAGTCGAAAGCCAATTATCACCAACCAACTCGTTGCTGGTTTCGATTTTCATGGCTCGCTCCACTGCGAGATTTCTGCAATAGTACACGTGCTAAAAACAACACGAAATCCAAGCCATACCATAAAAAAATATTCTACGTAGTCTCCAAGTGCACGCAAGTTTAACGGGTAGTGAGTGGTACGGGTGGTGTCGCCCACATGACATTGAATCTATTCTGTTTTTTTAATTGCTTTCGTCGTTGATAAATAAACAATGTCTACAAAACTGGTCGTTCGTCGTGTCACTTGAGCGAGTAACGATAGTTCGTTTTCGTTTCAAAAGCTTCATCAGCTGCTACTAGCCGGAGAGCCCTCTGGTGCAGTTGTTGAAAAAATCGATTTTTGGCTGCCAGCAAACCTGCAAAAAGCAAACACAAAATATGATACATAGCGCACTGGTAGAGGTACATCACTATACACACAGACAGGCACGGGAGCATTATACCGAGTGAAAAGCCAAGGGAAGAACTTTGCCTGATTTTTGTGTTGTTGCTGTTGCCGGTCTTATCGCTAGAACAGCAATGATCAAATAATACACAGAAGAGTGGTTTGGGGTGCAACAAGACTGCAGCTCGGCAGCAAAGGAGGGAGGCAGCGAACTCTATCGACCCCTTTTGCCGCTCGTTGGCCGGCTCGATGGTGCCATGGTGAATCTCGAACAGAACGATAGCTGCGTGGCTTCTGGATAATTATGCAAGAAAAATTTGTATGAAGTTTGATGACATTGAATTCCTCCAGGATTGGTGTTTAACTCCTCTGGACAAGACACAGATACCAAGGTCACTTATTTACTTTGAAGAATTAGTTTCTACTTGCACAGCTGGTAGCAGGTCACTTTTTAGCGGCTATATGGGATTAATCATATCGTCCGGAAATTTTCCACAAAGATGGCGCTGTTCCGCTGGTAGGAAGTGATAAAAATCCCCATATAGATTAGTGACGTTTAACGCTCGCGCACTACTGTGTTACCTGACTTATAACGAATAAACGTTGTATACGAGTACCCCGAATACAACGTATAGTTCGTCTAATATTACATTGCAAATGCTATGCAAAATTAGACGAGTCATACGTTGTATTCGGGGTACTCGTATACAACGTATATTCGTTATAAGTCAGGTAACACAGTAGCGGGTGGATCTCTGTGTAAAGTTGTTTATTATTTTCCTCTGGCTAACCTAAAAAATGTATGAAATTAGATCTGTCAAAATTAGTTTGACAGCGATTTGTTACGTACGTTTCTCGGATATTCATTAACACGCGCTCATATACCGTACCAATACAACTGGACGCGACAATCTCTATATCTAGGTAGAGCTGGAATTAGGGCGTAACCGCTTTTGTAAACAATGACTTCTGGAAGAAACAATGACATCATTGATAAAGAAGTACAATCAAACGGGCAAATAATAAACGGTGGAGAATCGAGAATGGTACAGGTAAACAGAAATGGCACCGAATAAAATTAAAATAATCCAACGCAATATTCTAAGTATACGTCCAACGGATACCAGAGAACTATACACTTGTTTGATGAAAAACGAAATAAAAATTGCCCTCTTATCATTGTGAATGGCATCATTGCCATAGTTTTAATTTTCAAAACAAATTTACTTAGGCTTCTCTTCAATTTCAGCAGGAATTTTAATCGTTTTCAGCATAAAGCAAAGAAAGAAACGTTTCACTATTTACGACAATCATAACAAAAACAATAATTGACAGCTATTTATTTCTACCTTATGTGTGTGAATGCACTCGTGAATTAACACACATCATCATACACAGGTTTAATTTTTGCTCAGAAGAGGCGTTGCCGTTACTGTCTCCTGAATTTTTGGCAGAGTTGCCAGTTTTCTTGATTTGTAGTTAAAGGTGAAACAAAAAAAATCTTATATTTGTTTCAAAACAATCTTGGGTGAGCCTGATTTTGAACAAGCAATGGTCGTTTGTTCCAGCATTTTGTATTACAATTACATATTTTTTGTACTTTCTTCAGAACTTGATCAACCTTGAAAAATATCCAAAGAACTTTACTAATATCTTCGTCTATCTGGGGATTTTTTCTTTTAAATATTTTCAGCTGTCTATAAAGGATGTCTGAATGAGTATACTGTAACCTATGCAACGTTCCCTAATCATCTAAAAAACTCCCTTAAGTTTTACAAAATTTCCTCAAGTTTCACGAAGTTCGCTGAATTTATTCCAAATTCCACATTTGTTCCATCTCTCTTAATTCTACGAAGATATCTGCGCATCTTCTGGAACGACCCACGTCATCTACAAATATTTTTGAATATCTGGAAAGTTCCTTGAATTTGAACGAAGTTCCCAAAACTTCTATGAAGTTCATTGAGCTTTTTTGAATTAAGATCTCTGACAAATTGCAACGAAGTTCCCTAAGCTGAAGCGCGGATCCCTGCAGATCTGAGAAGATTGCTGAACTAATTTAAGATCTTCTACAAAATTCCCTGCACTTACATGAAGTTTTATGCAGCTTCTCAAAATGCTACGAACCTCCCAAAATTTCTTCAAAGTTTACTGCACTTCTTCGTTTGCCGTTGATTTTTCGCGAAGTTCCTCGTATGGAATTTTTTGAACATGTTACGTAATTCCCTGAACTATTGCAAGCTCATTAGGCTTCAAAAATGTGTCCTGAAATAATATAAATATCCCCGAACAACAATGAGGTGCCCTGAAATTAAATAATGTTTAACTTCTACGAAGATTCCAAAACTTAAATAGAGTTCCCACTTCTACATAGTTGTCTAAACTTTTCCAAAGCTTCCTGAGTTTCTACGAATTTTTTTGAAACTCTATGAATTTCCCAAAATTTTAACAAAGTTTCATTAATTTTTACGATTTTCCCTGAACTTCTTAGAAGTCCTTGAAGTTTTACGAAGTTCCCTGAGGTTAAAGAAAAATCCCTGAACGCTTGGCCAATTAAACACATCGACTCTGACTTTGACTCGGAAAACGAACAGACCCAAATTCTTTCGCTATATCTTTTCGGCAACCTTCGTCTTTGTTAAGCTCAAGTGAAGGTTCTGAGAATTGAGATGTTGAAATAAAGAGGATTCGTAAACATCACGTGAACCTGAAGAATGTCCTTTTCCAGATATCACATATAACAGAAAATCTTTAAATCGATTTATCTCCGTATTACTGCTATAATCGAGATTTGGAAGGTTTTTGGGTGTCAGAAATTTGTTCGCCAAATAAATGTTTTCCGAAGGATTTCTGATCAATTTGAT